GGTCGAATTCTCCTCTCCAGTACCCTGGCATAGACTTTCCTGGGGAGGCTGAGGACTGTGATCCCCCTATAGTTGGAACACTATCTATAGGGGGATCACCTATAGTGTTCCAACTATAGGGGGATCACTTTTCCATGAACAATGTAAAATGTAAAAAATTGGATGCATGCATTTACAAATTTTTGTATAAAAGAAGTCTGTATAAAAATTACGCTCAAGCATCTCCAACAGTCTGTTATGAAAGCACACAGAATTTGGAGGTGTGCCTGAGACCTCTATAGGCCCGGAACCCCTCCCTCTTGGGGTCCCTCACCATCCCTCGGACCACTGGTAGGCTGTCACAGCCCCTCCTCTTCTGTGCTCGGTGCAGCAGGATTCGATAAACCCCAGTGACGGGGCTGCGGCTATCATTTGGCTGATTATTCCGTAGGTGCTTCGTGGTAAAGCCCAGCTCCTCCAGTGAGCTCCTGATCTTCTCCTCCTCGTCCTTCATGTCCCTGTGTGCTGAGTCCAGCAGGCTCTGGAGAGGATTTGCTGTTTCAGTAGGCACCCATGACCAAGGAAACTCCACAGGTAAGAGCCAATCGCAGCCCAGCATTTGGTCAATGGCATGGCGCTCAGTGGGGACTGGCTTTAGGATGCCCTTGATGAGCCTCTGGCAGGGAGCAGGTACCCAGGGTGGGATGGTGTAGATGCCTTCAATGATGCAGCGCCTTAGCTTGCCTGTAGTTTCGGCACGGAATGGCATGGTGCCTGTGACTATGAAGAAAAGCAGGACCCCCATGGCCCACACATCCACAGGGGGTCCCAAGTAGCACTCATCCCTGAAGAGCTCTGGGGCGGCATAGGGCGGTGAGCCACAGAAGGTGTCAAGGGCGTTGCTGTGGTTTGAAACCCATGTGCTGAATCCTAAGTCAGCCACCTTCACACAGCCACTGCTGGTGAACAGAACGTTCTCCGCCTTCAGGTCCCGGTGGATGATGTTGCTGTTGTGCTGCATGGCAAAACACAAGCTGATTTCATATTTCTGAACAGCTCTAAGATGACAGACTGTCTGTTATAAGCCAGACTGTAATTTTAGACTTGGTCATCATTTCTAATGACTGTGACAACCTTTCACTTATTTGTCCAAATGGTGAGATCCTTACATCTTTATAACTTGGATTAATTAGGATTATAATGACCATGAAATGCAGATGAGAAGAAAAGTTTTAAACAAGTCAAGTTTCTCAAAACAAAGTAAAACAGTTTGGAAGTAAAAACAAATGTCCATGCACCTAACAAGTCTGTTTGCTTTGTGAAGCTGCATGCACCTGAGGTAGGTAGTGTAGGTCAAAGTTAAACCCAGAAGTAATGCTGAATGTTTAGGAATAACATTTCAGGAGCAGAGAACAAGGTTATATTATTGTCCCAAATGTTACACTTTTGCAGCGTGTGTTTGTAGCACCAGAATGTACTGAGTGTATGAAACCTTTACTTTTTTGTTCAGTTGGATAGTTTTGATCATCATAACATCATAACCTTGAGTCTGTAATAAAGTTTTGAGTTGAATTAGATTGTTGAAATCATAAACATACATCACCTTCATGCTGCCCTGTCACACTGAAGAATCATAAAACCAACAATTATTGGACAGAGCACAAACTGAATAGACTGGTCTGATAGGATTACAGTGGGGTTGGAGTGTTTCTGTGACTTCCTGTGTAAACTCTGAAGGCGGTTGCTGTCTGCTTACATCTGTTTTCCAGGCCAGGGGCAGTTCACCTCAAAGGAGCCTCTGCTCAAATGTCATGGCTTTCCTTATCAAATAATCAATTCACACTTGATTTTGTTTCTGGATTTCAACAAATGTGTTATAAAGATCAAACTGAACTCTTTGTAGCAGTATATTACAATACATCCGATGTTTGATTTGACCAATTAAGATAAATAAACTGCATGATGGGAATAACAAACAAAGTCTAGCTCAGAAATGACATCACTAACCATAAATTTGATGGCAGAGAGGATCTGGGCAAAGGTGATCTTGCTGGTGCTGTCAGACAGTTTTCCTTCATTGCAGATCCTGTTGTGGAGGTCTCCTCCTCCTGCATACTCCAGCACCAGATAGAGGCGGCTCGGTGTCTCCACCACCTCATACAGACGGACCACGTTGGGGTGCTGCAGGGACTCCATGCTACTGATTTCCCTGGAGAGCAGACGCTGGGCCTGAGCATCCATTCTTGTCTTATCCAGGATCTTCAGGGCCACTTTATCTATGAGGAAGACAGTTGAAAGGACACAGAGATGCAAAGAAAGTCTGGTGGCCAACAATGTGCTGTGGTAAAATATCTCCACTACAGAGAAGGATGCTGCTCAGGACTGGTGCCTATCAGAAGCTTAAGGTGGTCCGTAGACGAAGGAAAAGGGCTTAGTGATTTTTCAAAGCAAAGTTTAAACGAGAATCCTGATCATTATTGTGAACACATAATCATTCCGGAATAGCTCACAGGCAAAAGGGGTGAAATGGCACTTTAAAAAACAGAGGTGAAAGGAATGGATGAGCACCTGGTTGTTTGGATATGTGTTCTTCTCTTGTGCATTCAGACAGCGTGCCCACTTACCTTTGGTCAGAGCATGGAAAGCCAGTTTGACCCTTGAGAAGGTTCCACAGCCGATCTCTCCACGGACCTTGTAGAAGCCCACCCTGCGGCCTGTGATCAGCTCCTTGATGGTCTTCTCATCCTTGCACATGTCCATAGTGAGCTTCTGCAGGGGAGTGAGGTGTAGTGGGGCACTGACCTCCTCATCGTTAGGGCCCATGACAGAGCTGTCAGTCAGGTTGTAGAGGCTGTGGTGGAGCTTGACGCTGGTCACCTGGTACTGGCCTCCAGGCATTACTGCAGCAGGCTGGATATAAGGTCATCTTCAAAAACACGATAATAGGACTGAATCACCTTTGTATATACAGCGGCCACATGGCAGTGCATCATGAATTTTTAAAACACTTGATACCTGATGCTTCATTGTCATTGTCTTACAGTAAGCAGCAGCAAAATGTCTGAGGTCAAAGACTTACTGAGGAAACAAACATATGAAACATAGCATATACTCATATATACATCAGTATGTGCTTTATAATATTAGTGAATAAAATCACATGTACCTATTAACCTCTTGAAACCTATATATTGTTGCCCCTTTAACATCTGATATATAAATTCTATATTTGCTTCTTCCAATGTCTCATCTATACTTTTAACCCTGCACTAATATTTAATGTCTTTTTATGCAATATTTAAAAAATTTTCCATAGTTTTAGTAGACACTAGAAATATGTAACTCTTGAAGGGTTGCACAGGAACAAAAATATAAAAAGAATGTAGTCTTACCAAGTTTCCAAATTGCTGCTCTGCATTAAAACACAACCGTGGAGTCCATTGTCAGCAACAGAAGTAAAACAAATAAACAAATAAAAATAATAATAAAAAATTCAGTTGTGTGTTCTCTTACTGAGCAAAACACTGCCATCCCCCTCCTTCTAACAGGCTATGATACACTAATGACCAGGAACACAGGAGGGGAGGGGAGGGTTGGTGTGTCTGCTTGAACCATTAGCCAAGTGCACAGCCTGTGTAAGCTTCTCTCCTTAGTGCTCACCTTTCTCTTCCCAACTCAGGGACAAAGGATTAAGGCGTTTCATGAACTCTAATCCTGTTTCACTTTTGTTCTCTTCAAATGGCTAACGTCAGTGCACGACAACAAAAATAAGGCCAAATAAATGCAACAGTTGCCCAAATGTGCAAATGTACTTGTATCTATATGTTCTGAATACTTTGGGTTGCAGGTTTAGCAGAACACGCCTTTGAGAAGTAAATGGCTGTGTTATGCAGCTGAGGTTGATCTCCGGGCTTCTGGGAGATGAAATGTTATGCAATGGTATTACCTAATGTTCCCATAGAGATTAGCTCTGTCTTCCCTTTAGACATTGGCTGAGCACTACAGATAAAGAGATTAAAAAGCATGAGATTAGGTGGAGCGCCTTCATTCAGGTGTGCTGTCCCTGTGAGCAGCAGTAGAGGCACAGCATGGGGATAATGCAGTCCACAGACATCAAGACTTTTACAAAAGCACATCTGGATCTACTTTCTTTTATGGATTGTACATGTAGTTTGTAAACAGCAGCCTACACCACTGACTGATACTTGTTCTTTTGTTCTTGTTGTTTTTTTCTGAGCAGGTAGATCTGTATCACTGTCTTTTCCTGATAATCAACCAATTGTTTCAGCTCCAAAATACCAAATGTAACAAATACTTATCAAAGCGTTAATTTTACACTTGTAAAAATTAAACAAACAGTATATAATGAGTTATTTAGTGAGCGTTAGAGCTGCTGCCAGGCATTTTGTTACCTTTGGACAGAACCAGGCTAGCTGTTTTGCTCTGTTTCCAGTCTAAGTCATGTTAAGCTAAGCTAACCAACTGCTGACAGTAACTTCATATTGAGCATGCAGCTGCAGGAATAACATCAATTCTCCCATCTAACTCTTGGCAACAGAACCAATAAGTTTAATTCCCAAAATGGAGAAAAAACAACAACAACAACTAATGTTAGAAAAGGCACATTAACCCCAAATTGCTAAAAAAAAATCTAGAATAAACTAGAATTGAGTGTTTAAGACAGTACGCAAAAATAATTGCCAACGTATCCTAAAGACTGCATATTCAATCACAAAAAAATGACTGTTGTATGTTGTACTGCTCAGGAGCACTTAAATCCAGAATAACTTTCTGTTCTCAATGTATGCTCCACTCTCATGTTCAAAGAATACAGATACCTTCTTTTTTTATTTAGGTGAACAAAAAAGCTCTCATACTTCACAGGAACTTGAGAAGATAAAGAAATGGTGTGATAGTAATATACTATCTCTGAATTTGGATAAAACTAAATTTATGGTATTTGGGAATCGTAGACTAGATAATGAACTTCAATTGAAAATTGGGGGAGCTAATATAGAACGAGTACCATAAGTGGGGTAAAACTATGGAATAATTTAAGCGCGGACATAAAAAATAGTAATAGAATTGACAAGTTTAAACATAAATATAAAGGTATGTGTCAATCAAGATATAAGCAAGAACAGGCTTAATGATTAATTAGATGGAACATTGTGGGTGTGGTGTATGAATGTTAATACTCTGTAATAATTCTTTAATATATTACTTGTGTGGTGTAGAACAAAATTATCTATGTAGAGACACTGCTTGCAAACCAATGATGGTAAGATGATGTCAGGGGGTAGGACTGGATAAGTCTGACTTCTTCCTACTCCATTCAAGCATGTACTAGGTATAAGCAAATTGATATTGGATTAGCATTTGTTGGATATGTGTAAAATTATGTGTGTTGACATATCAACTGTCTTTACATGCTTGAAAGAATAAATCAAATCAAATCAAATGAAAGAATATAATTGCAAACATGTACTTTCCTTAACATAAACAATAGGAAATGCTGGAACACAGAAGGTTCTTTGCAGGAATCTGATTGGATTTAAGTCTTATACAGGAATATGGCCTGTTTAAATGTACTTAGTGCACAGTAGTCGCCCACAAGCATGGAGGTGATACAGCAAATCTAGTCACCTGTGACAGTGCACAAGAAGCAGTATAGGGTAAACAAATGAAACAACATTGTAAGCAAAATAAGTTAAAAAAAAAGTCCGAAGAATAAAATTTTGCTTCGAAATGAAACTGAAAAAGATTCTGGACATTTCACAGCACTTCAACTTCTGCCCCTTGGGAAGGACATTCATGCACCTGCAGAACTGGAGGGTCAGCAGCTTGTTAGCACTGTTAGCCTCTAACAAACTAGATCTTTCTCCTCTTCAGACGACCCTCACTGAGAATGCCTGCACGCTGGTTCTCTTCCAGCTCTTTGATTCTCTGACGCAAAGCCGCAATCTCCTTGTTTTTTTCCTCCTGGACGAACTGCAGCTTCTGAGAACACACACGCACAATCCACACACATTAGAATTAAAATAAACATGACAAGCAACACATTTTTCAGTACAGAACAGCACAGCTAGCAGTGATGATCTAAGAAAAGTTAGCCCACTAACCTTAAATGTATATCTATAAAATGAATCTGACTGCTAATAATTTGTTCTTGGGCTGGAACTAATCATTATTTTCATTGTCATTATGATTATTCTTTGATTAATGGTTTTTTTTAAGATGTCAAAATGACAGGAAAAGGTAACTTCTTCAAATTCAATTCAAATTGAAGTAAAACATAAAAAAGCAGCAAATTCTCACATTTGAAAAAGCTGGAACCAGAGAATGATGAGAAATTGATGATGTGAGAGAAAGAGGATCATCACTTTTATTGACTCTGCTCTTTCATTCAAATAAAAAAGCCGATGGGACAGTACAGTGGCTTGACGTTACTTAGAAAGCATGAACTTTGTAACTTTTCAATAAAAAAGACATATAGGAGGTGAAAGTTACTGTGTGGCCTGCTCACCCTCTTGAAGACACTCTGAGGAAGAAGGTTTGAGGCATGTTGTTGCTGCTGCTGCTGTTGGCTCAGTTGAGCTGCACTCTGAACTCGGGCTAACTTTGCACCAAACTGCCAAAACACACAAAGCAAAGCACCAACAAACTTAGTAAAGGTGAAACTGGCCACTCAAGGCTAAAGCAAAAATGGGTCCATCTTGAAATTGTTCTTCAAGAAAAAACATGTCTGGGGTAAACTGTATTCATATTGGTGGTCAGGGACTGCATCCCTCTTGGAAGTAAAACAAAGCTTTTCATTTACCTCCATCTGCAACCTGAGAAGCTCACTCTGCCTCTCCCTTTCCTGATCCTTCAGCCTCTTCTTCATCTCCTCCAGCTCCAGATCTTTTTCCTCTAGCAGCTTCTTCACTTCAGCGTCTTTAGCTTCCACTGTCAGGAAATAAATTTGGCACCAGCCAAATACAGGTCCATAATTATAATAAATGTTTGTTTTCTCTTATTTTTGTCTTCTGTTCTGCTCCAATGCTGTGGGCTGATGTCAAAATGAGGTTTTTAAGTCAAATTCATAGTTTAAGTGTACATCACCATTTACACTGAAGTCACGGGGTTTATGTCAGTGAGGGTTCGGTGCCTAGGGCTTAAGAGGGACACTGGAAGTGGGCCAGTGTCACTCAGCTGAGTGATGTGCAAGGTCTTACAATGGTTTAATCCTTCCCTGTGAGTGTCCTCCACCTCTGCCCACCACTGCTGCCTCACAGTCTCTAGCTCCCTCTTGTGTCTCTCTTCTTCTGCTTTCATTTCACCGAGCAGCCGCTGAACCTCAGCCTCTCCATCCTGAAGACGACACAGAGCCCACATACGACATTAGTGACTGATGCTACAACTGGGCAAACCAGTGGCACCATTACCTAGTTTAAAGGCTTTGAAAGTAACACAGTGCTTTAAAATACTGCTCAGAAAGCATAACTGAGTCAATTGATCTTTCTTATGTCAGTGTGTAATTTAGTAGCTGTACATTAAAAAGAAAAAAAGGGGTTTTCTTTAACCAGATAAAAGCAAAAAAACAGATGGGTGACAAAAAAAGCCTAAATGGCTGACCCCTACACTGGGGGAATGCAGTGGGGGCATTTTGCTTGCGTGGTTTAGGTGCACTTGCCCCTTATAAGTAAGGATCACTACAAATCAATACAAAGTTGTTCTGAATGATAAACTTTATCCTCTGATGAAACAGCTCTGTCCTGATGGGAGTGGTCTCTTCCAGGATGACAGTGCCCACATCCATAGGGCACAAGAAGTCACTGAATGATCTGAGTATGAAAATGATGTGAATCAAATGCTGTGGCCTTCATAGTCACCAGATCTCAGCCAAGTTTGACATCTATTGGAGATGTTGGAGTGACATGTTAGACAGCACCACCACCATCAAAACACCACATGAGGAAACATCTGTTGGTAGAATGGTGTTCAGCCCTCCAGTTCAGAGACTTGGAGAGTCAATACCACAGTGCACTGAAGCCACTCTGGTGGCACATGGGGGCCCAGCACTTTACTGTATAAACAGTGTGTCAGGTTTGCTCGGCCGCTCTGGCCTCCCTCACCTTTCCTACTGTCTCTTGCCTGATTACACTAATCACGTTCACCTGTTCCTCACTCCCTTATCACCAGCTGCACTTGATTAGGTTGCTCACTATATTACCCGGTTTCACTCCTCAGTCACTTGCCAGTTCTTTCTAGTCACTAGGCCAACCTTACTCTGTGCGTTGTCATTGTTTTTGTATGTCACAGCTACTGTTTTGTGTTCCCCCCATGGACTGTTCCTCCGGACCGTGGCTCCACTCTCCCCCCCCAGGCAGGTCAATGCTCAGTCGCCTATCTGTTCCACTATTGCCTTCATCTCTCTGTCTCTACCTTCAGTAGCCACCATCACCGCCAACCAGCCCAGGAGTGACCCAGCCTACGCAGCTCGGCCCAGCTCTCCATCTCCTCGCCTCCTGCGGTTGGTCAAACACCCGGCTACTACTCATTGACAGGACTACGCATTATTTCCCTCTGTATATTGTTACTCCCTTCATCACTGTATATAATAAATCACTGCATGCACCGAAGTCGGCTACCTGGGTCCGCCTCTTTCTCATTCGCACACTGACTGGTGCGAACGGCACCTAACACAGTATAGCAATGTGGTTTATTTGTGTGCATTTATCTTGACCTAGCAAACTGCACATTTATTGTAATCTGTCTTCAGGACTGGAGAATCAGACACATGGCCTAAATATCTGAATTAATTCCGCATTAACAATGAAAATTAGGAACCTCAACCAAGATAACACTTTACATCTTTAATGATAACTTCAGCCCTGCTTCAGTCCTCACCTCTGCTGTTTGCTCGTTCTGTCGTCTCAGGTCCGTCATCTCGTTCTTTAGTCTCTCATTCTCCACTGCGTGAGCATTGTTAGAATATTTACATGTAGAAAATCCTTAGAATCTTTACACATAATTTACTGGATGTAACAGTGTAATTTTTGAGTATTTATTTTAGGTCCCTAATACAATTCTAGTATTACAGAATATGACAAAACTTGCAGCAGCACCAATAAGGGTGACTATAAAGTGAGTAGTGGGAGACTATTTGTGTAAACCATATTATGCCGTACTCTAATTTTAGCTTCACTGCAGTGAGTGCTTAAGAAACACTCCAAATTAAATCTTTCCTCTTGACAAAAACCAATGAGCATATTCCTAATATCCAAGGATTTTGCAATTGTCATTTTTAAATATATGAGTTTAACTGGTTACTACAGTTACCTCTGAGGTTGCACTGCTCCTGCACAGTCTGCTGCAGTCTGTTTAGTGTGACAAGAAGGCTGTCTCGCTCTGCAATGTGTTGAGCAAAAGAATGAGAAACAGTTCATGGCTTGTGTTACTCTGTTTATGTGCCATACATATGTACAGGTCAGGGGAGGCTGTGCCTCAGGAGGTAATCTGACTGGAGACTAGCAGTTCGATTCCAGGCTTATCCAGTCCACATATCGAAGTGTCCTTGAGCAAGACACTGAACCCACAGTTGCTCCCGGTGATGTCACAGTGATGCGTGAATGTGTGTATGCTTGGGAGTGTGAATGAGTGAATGGCCAAAATTGTGTAAAAGAGCTTTGAGTGTGCCACAATGCATAGAAAAGTGCTATACAAGTAGAAGACCACTTAAGTTCAGGGTTGAAACAACTCATATGGGGGCAAAGTTTATAAAATCACTTAAATGCATTTTTAATGTAGTGGTAATCTCATGGTAGCTATGAATCTCATCTGACTTTTGGTGATGACCTATATAACAATATATTAGAAATTACAATATGAGCCATTCAGTAAATGTTAACAAATTTAGGATTCAATTTCCTGAACTGAAAACCTGACCGCCAGGGCTGTCATTTGACCAAATCACCAGCAGAGGGAGACATGCAAACACATACAGGCACCACACAGCTCTTAAATCGCAGAGGACACTGTTGTTTTAAATAAGACAAATGTAAATATACAGTTTTTAAATATAAAAGGCAAACACTCACCTTCAATCAGACATTTCTCCTTGGTCAAATAAAATTTCACGAGTCTACTGGCATCATCCATCATGGTTTCCAACACGCTGTTTTTGCCATTAACCTCTGCAATTTTCTGTTTTACAAAAGTAAAACCAAATAGAAATATTCTAGACTTGAAACATAAATCTCCCTTTATTCCCTAGTGCTCCATCGAGGAGGTATATGTGCTAACAATTAACTAATAATGCACTATATTAGTATGGCGTTACTGCTGTGGCGTAACATTACAAAAATACGGTCTAACCACAGGTCTCTTTCTCTGTGTAGGCTATTCCACACGTATGGCTTTTTTGCCAATTCTTTCATTTGTTTTATGTGACTATCCAACTAGTTATAGCTGTATAACAAATTAGAAATGAGAGAAAAATAGCTAAATCAAACAATTGTTTACCTAAGTTAACTATAACAATCACAGTCCTGAAATGTAATCTCCTACAAGAATTAACGCTAACATTATCTTCAGAGATAGCCAGTGGTATAAATAAGAACAAGGTCCTGTCATTATTATCGAGCTATATGAGGAACTAACCTAGGCCTATGTTTATCAAACAGTTGGCCAGCTCTTCCTATTTTTGACCCTCGAGATAACGTTACACTGTTCACAATTAGTCATCAGTGAGTTAATAACTCGCATCAACTTAACCTGTTCTAGTCGAGTAAATTCCTCCATAAACTTGTCAAGATTAACGCAGTTTAACTTAGTCATTTTGGTTTAGTCTAAGAGAAAGCAAAACAGACTGTTGAGGAAAGCAATATTATCGTAATGAAAGCTACACTAAGTTGTTATTTAAAGCTAGCTTACTCTTCCGCGCACGAGCTCGTAAACGCTGTTTTTATGTGCTCGTGCCCTCCTGGCGCGCGGAGAAATTACTAATTTATATGAATAAGGCTTAGATGTTGGAAGTAGCAGATTATATTTACTTAAGTTCCGCGCAAGTCTATAAAGTAAAAAGTCATAAATTTCACAAAGTAAGAGTACAGGGCATTCCTTTTATACATTCAAAACAGAAATTCTATTCGGTCTTCTGTAAAATCTTTCTAGTACTGTGGAAAGCTACTGTAAAACTAGCTGAAAATAAGGGACAAAAAGTATGAAAGCTCTTTATTTGTAACTAACACTTCTGAACAAATGCAATATTATGGCAAGCCGTTCAGGAAATAAATGGAATGAAAATATTGATTGAAACTTGTATATATTGATTGAAAAGCTGAATATATTGATTGAAACTTGAGAATATGGATTGAAAAGCTGGATATATTGAATGAAACTTGAGAATATATATAATGAAAGTCTGAATATATATAATTAAAATCTGAATATATTGATTGAAACTTGAGAATATATATAATGAAAGTCTGAATATATATATAATGAAAAGCTGAATATATTGAATGAATCTTGAGAATATATAATGACCTGTGTGTATATACACACACACACACATTCTGACCATGTACCCTGAACTCTGAATTAGATGCACAGTTAGAAAAGAAATGAAAAATCAAAACTTTAACAGTCCATGCACTAAAAACAAATACTGATTGAACATAATGACACCACCTGACAGTCAAAATCATTTTTATTGTCAGCTCTCAAAACATGCAATGGCATCAATGGAAGAAAAGCAGCTAACATTTTATGCTTCTGTTGAGCCTTTGACATGCATATTATGCTTTATTTTGCCTTTCACAAGTTCATATGCTAGCAACAACATGATATATGAACCCCAATAAGAAAGAATATTACAAAAGCAATGGCTTTCTTGTTGGTTGAGTAACATTTTCATTGTAGCAATAGTTATCTGAAAGCCCAAAATGAAACAAAAACCTTATGAAAAGTATTTAAAAAATGATTAATAACAACAGGAACATGATTATTTATGCCTATGGACACTTCACTGGAGCCTGAAAGAAGAGTGAATATTCTAATAACTGAATAAATGAGTGTGTTTCTTGGTCTGTTGAACATGAAAACAGAAACAGAAATCTTTTTGTAGGTTTTGTAGGCTTTATGTTAGGGCTCAATCTGTCAGCTTGTTGCAGGGGTATTCTGTTCTCTAGAGGCAAAAAGTGGTCAGTGCTGCTTTAACTATCCATCCATCCATCCATTTTCTAAACCGCTTAGTCCCAAATGGGGTCACAGAGTCAATCCCAGCCAGTTGCAGGTTTCTAAACCCTGGACAGGTCACCAGTCCAACACACAGACAAACAACCACTCACACACTTCACTCCTACAGGTAATTTTAGAGCCACCAATCAACCTATGCAGCACGTCTTTGGGAGGAAGCCGGAGCACCCAGAGAGCACCCACGCAAGCACGAGGAGAACATGCAAACTCCGCACAGAAAGGCCCCGGGTCGGCCGGGCTCGAACCCAGAACCTTTGCGCTGTGAGGCAACAGCACTAACCACCGCACCACCCTGCTTTAACTAAATTACTGAATAAGTATAGAGTACTAAAATCGAATTGTATTGAAATCGTTGAGATAATTTCCAGTCCAAGCTTGTATTTTTCCCTTTGAACTGTTTCCTTTCCACAAATGGAATAAAACACATTCTTGCTCTTTGTCACTTCTGCCAAAAATCCCAACTATGTCAGCTTTACAACCCTGGCAAGAGGAGGTTAGAGTTAGGGAGGTAGTGGTGACAGGACAGGAACAGATGACCCCCTATTTTAGGCAAGCTGACATTCAGACACAGCTATGGGAAACTCAAATGTTCCAAAGCTTATGATTGAATAGTCTTAATTTCACACAGTTCACAGGGTGACGCTACTCAAAAGGTCAGGGGCCAGGTAGCCGTCTGGTGTCGGGACACTCTTCTGATTTATCATTTGCGGGGCAAGTGTTGAGTTTGGTGTCAGTAAGAGGCTGTTCTGTGTGTCAACACCCTCTACCATTGTGTAAACGGGAACAGGGGCTAACGCGGACATGGAGGAAGTATCTGATTTGTAGTAAGGTGATGGGGATGGTGAAGAACTCAAGTCTTCTCCTGCCTTGCTGTGGTCGCTCATGTCCCTTTCACTCATGTCCCCTTCAGATGATCTTGGGCTCATATTGCCTGCGTTGAGCTCTGAGGTGTAACCTCCATCATCTGCATTCATCACCAGGAGCTGAAATGCTTTCTTTTCTTTCTCCTTCTCTGTCATATCTTTCTCTGAGTCTTCATTAGTGGTTTTGTCCACCTCAGGTGACAGCAGCACATTGCCAGACGACCTCACCCCACTCACTTGGGTGTACAGTGCTTCTCTGCTTGGAGCTACAAAAAGAGGTTCCACCCCAGTTGAGCCCTGGACTAGGGTACTTTGCTCTGAGGCTGCCGGGCATGATGGTTCTTTGCTGAGGATTTGGGTTGGGGTGAGAGGATGGAAAGGTGACACTTCCAGTTCACTGGGGAGATCTGGGTCACAGCAGCTGGCCCGGCCCGAGTCGTCATCTCTGAAGCCGACAGAGAGGGGAGAGCAGTTGGAGGACAGGGAGTGGTCCATTAGCCAGTCAGTGTCTAGGTCTGTCAGCGTATCGTTCTGCTCCTCAATGTCATTGTTGTACAGCTCTGGCCTCAGCTCAGGGGGAGCACCCAGGATCGATGTCAGCTCCCTCAGCTTCCCTTTCTGTGAAATAAAATAGCATTGATACACTCAAGAGGCTAGATTCAGCTGGTGAGTTAGGTCAACTTGGATTTTACAGTCTTTCAATCAGTAACAATGATGTTTGCTAAAATCACAAAGATTGTGGTGATACAGTGTTTGTAAGATCATGTAGGACATGCTTATTTGGAGATGAATATGAAGGTGAATTGCAAACAGGTTATAGGCCAACTTCAAGATTGAACTTCCGCCCACTGTACTTATCGAAATTGCGTAAGGCATTATTACAGTATAGGCCAACTTCAAGATTGAACTTCCACCCACTGTACTTATCGAAATTGCGGGAGGCATTATTACAAAAATTTTGGATGCCTTCCATGTAAGTTTTAATTAAAACATGAACTTATTTCAACCTGTTCAAAATCTTAGAAATGTGGTGAAATAATTTTATCTTACACAAAATTAAGGTGATGAAAATAGGACCTAAGTTATAATAAATAGATCAAAAAAAGTTCAACCAAAGCGCAGAATACTTCTTTTGAATCAACATTGTGAACTAATTCTCCTGTTAGCCATTAAGCTGATGAGCATGGACATGCTAGTGATGTTAATTACCTCCAGCTTCTGACCTTAATGGGCAAATGTTGTTTTCTGGCCTGACTGCTGCGACCACACTGGGTAGCCTGCTGGTAAGTTAGTGCAAGTCATGGTCATGTGTAATGACATGTGGGTGAATACCTTAAGTATTTCAGGGTCAATTCCTCTTATTTTAGGTCCAGGAACAGGAGGCAAAAGAATAACCATCAACCTTACGTGGGAAAAAAACAAAGGAAACATGTTACATTTGATGTAAATCAAGAATGAAATTGTTAAACATCTTTGAATAACACAGATGTACACAAACACTGAGGTGACTTTCTCAAGGTTAAACAGCCCACACAGACTGCAAGACACCGAGCAGCTTCATGCACTCCCTTATTTCTGTAAGCTTTTCAAAACCCTCCAGATTTGCACTGAATTCCTTATACTTGCAAATACTTACTTTTCCTGCTGTGATATGACAACCAACATCAGGATGGCCACTAAACACAGGGACCCAAAGATGAATAAAGCCACCACCGGGAATGTTGATACTGAACAAGACACAAATTCACACATATTTAATATAAGTACATTAAAAAAATGCACAGAAGCCCTTTTAGACTGTGAATACTTAGCACTGCAGGCTTTATCTGTCTTTGAGTAACAGCATTTTGTCCTTCAGACAGTAGATGTTCATTATGTGAATGCTTAGTGTAGCTTCAGACATGACGTGACTCTGCCTATGATTATGAAAAAATACCTGAAGAGGCTGGAAAAATATGAATTTCTGCTTTAATAATGATATTTGCTCTGCTTGTTTATTTTTGACAAATTAAATGACTTATCTGTTCTGTGGCTTATCAGTGCCAATCGCTGATATATGTCACTGCATTATAAAGATCACACAGACAACTACTGATGCCAATAATAAATATCAAAGGAGGGGGGCAGACAGGAACACTGAAAGAGTTATTCACCGGTAAACAACGGTGTGCAGCCCCTAAAGGTTTCATATAAAACTGAAAAGCCTTTTTCAAACCACTTGTAACAGCTTTAACCACTCAGCCTGTAAACATCACAGTGAGGGTTTACCTTTAGATGAGATATGGACAAAAACTGAGTTGCTGAATTCTCCAAATTCTTTCCCACCGTGCATTTTGCACCGGACCCGAACCTCATGATTCACATTAGTTTGAAGCCCATAAATGGAGCGCTGTGTGTTTTTCACAAGGTCAACCTGTGGTGAAGAAAATAAATCAGCAAAGTCAGAAGCAGTGCTATAGCATCACAGTCTTCTCCTCTAACAAACATATATTCCTTTGACAATATTCAAATGTTTATTGTAAAACTTAAGCAAGGCATATTTGAGCCATAGAGTGTTAAAAATGAACTGTACTGAGGTTAACTGATGCACAGCACTAGAGATAGGTACCGAAACTCGGTGCTAAATGATCAAAATCAAATAATTTCCCAATCCAGAAGACAGATCTGTCTCTCGGTGCCTGTGTGCAAGGGGTGGGGCAGCTGTAAATTATAAGAACATGGATTACTGATTGATTAAAAGGAACCATTTGCCAGCAGTTTGTTAAATTGTCAGAGCGTCTTCTGTGTTGTTCAGGAAGTTACTTTCAGAGCGCTCACAGCAGGGACAGATTTAGTGATTTAGGGGTAGGAGGCAAAGTACCACACAGTGAAAATATTGTCACACAGATTTCTTACATTTCAGTAATCACATTTTAGTCTAGTAATATGGTCAAAACAATGCTTTGCACTTTAATTATCAAGAATCGTAACAGTAGCCTACATTATAAGAACATTAAGAAATGTTAATTCTGTTCTTAATTTTTTGTCTTGTGTCTCTCTCTCTCACAAAAAGAACCCATAAAAATACCATTTTAATAACAAACCAATTGTTTCTGCAAAAAAAAAAAGATTAAAAAAAAATGTCGAATCATTCATGTTGTCATATCACAAAGTTACTTTTTGCACCAAATTATGGAGAGTAGTATCAGTAAAAGTACTGATGAGTATCCATATTAATAAGCAGTATCAGTATCCTTACACAGCACACATATAATACTAAAATTCAATATGCAGTATATAATATAATGTATGTTTTTAAAGCTAATAAAATTGCACCATAGTGTTTTATCTAACTTATCCATTTTAGAACACTAAAATAAAACTCTGAAGACACCCACCACTTCCCACAGTTCAGAGGTGACGCTGCGGTACTGGATCTCATACTGTAGCGTCATCCATCCCATCTCCACATCTGCAGACCGAGGCGGCTTCCAGCTCAGCATAATGTCATAGTAAGCGCCAGTCAAACTCATATTCAGCAGTGTCCAGTTCAGGCCAACTGGAGGATCGGGTTGCACTAAACAACAGAAAATAATAGAAGTTCTGTCATAATAACTCTAGTGTACTACCACAGCAGACCTGAGTGGGGACAGCCCAGTGTAGGGCACAGGACATGAAAGAAAACTCTTCAGCACTGCACATGCCTGAGGGATAAACCCAATAGAGACAGCTATAGTCATAGAAGCTTGGGTTACTTTAACCATTGTTTTGAGTGGAACAGCAGAATATGGGAAAATAATCACATCCCTGTTTTTATTCATTTGTTCTTTAATCTGGATCATGACACCAGAGCAGTGAGGTAGCAAACTCACCGATATCTTCAACATTAAAGCGGTTCTCGTCATAAAGGATGGCCAGATCCTTTGAGCGGAGCTGGACACTGTAATATGCCCAGACGGTTGTGTGGTTCTCATTAAAGAAGCACTCATTTGGCCTGTCAGTGCTGTAGTGAGGGCACTCACTCCATTCTTTAGGAGGCGCGTGGGGTGGTCTGCAAGGTGGGGGACAGACAACATGCAGAAAGGAGAGGAAGGCGGTGACAGGAAGGATATGTGACAAATATATGGCAAATTTTAAAACATATTCTAGATAAGAAAACCATTTGTAGTGAGTATTTTTAGATATCTGCAGATTCTAAGTATACAACATTATTGCACAGTGTATATTTTATATTTTAAAAATAAAGTGTTTATTCTCTGGTGAATGGGAATGTTCTCTGTAAATTTCATTGCAATTTGGTGATTAAATTGTGTGATATCTTGTGAACAAAGTTGACTTTTTGGCCTGAGGCAGTGGTAGAGGATATTTTATGGAGTACAGCTGCACTCTCCAGCCTATTACATTTCAATTCGGGAGCCAGCAGCTTTAAGAAATCACATGGGCCTTGGTGTGCGTTTATAAATCCACCTACCCATTTTGTTTAATAGAGATTATTCTTAAAAAGACTGGGAATGTCAGAATTAAAAAGGTTTAAATGAACTATCTTTCAACTAAATGCAACCTTGAACTGGAATATGCCTTGTCTTAGACTGAACACGTGTGCCATATGCCAGGCGTAGACACAATGTTCACATGTGAGTTGTAACAATAGTGACTCCATGTGACCTCAAGCAGCAACAACGAATAAAAATGTGGGTGAAAAGGGGTTTTAAACTTTCAAAATTAGACTATAACTGACATTGTCTTAAAAATTCATGCATTTTCTACCAACTGACACTGCACCATCAGTGCAGCTGGTTTCATATGTTACTATGTGACAGCTGAAAATGAAATAAGGAAAAACTGAAATGATTTGATGTAATATTCTACTGCATTGTATGGAGCATTAAGATCAAATACAAACATACAGTGGAGTTGAATCTTTTTAAGGTTCTACCTTAAGTTTTTTTCCATTACATACTTCAATGTACACACACTGTATACTTTAGACACTACTTGCATTTTTTATTGATTTTCTTTAAAATCAATTTTTTTGTTTTTGTATTAATTTGTATAATATTTTTCCATTATTTCAGATCTTTTCTTCTCTTTAATGCATACTGTTTAAAAAAGCCTAGACACTCAAGGCTGTCTTGCTTTGCTGTAGTGATTAAGTTATTTGTATTTTACCAAACTGTGTCCAAAGAAAATGAGGACTGAACAAACTGTATAGAGTTCTCCTCTCCTTCCCTTTTTTCTCTGTTGATTTGACTTCCTCGAAAGCACAGAGAAACCACATGGTTCTGATTGTAACAACATTTTTCTCCTCACTTGTTGTTAATATAGAATAAGCGGAGGTCCCCCGGCTGAGAGAGGTTCTGGAAGTAGTCGACATTCCATCTACAGCGGAAAGTTTCCAAGTTGGTGGAGACACAGCCAGTGAGGTGTGGGTGTCTCGGTGGTACCACTGTAGGGA